ATTCTCAGAGACACGTGAAGCTGCTAATTCCCATGTCAAATGTGTGTTTGAACATGAACGTGACATCAAGTATGCCATCTTTAACTCAACAAAAAAATCAGTGTGTTGGACAACTCCAAATGTTCACTGCAAAGACGAGTACTGTCAAAACAATGCTGCAAAAGAATGCAAATCTGAAAAGTCTACTTGGGATAAGCAGCACCACTCAGCCTGTGAAAATGTCTTCTGTGGCTCTGGAGGAGATTTGCCAAAATTGAGGAAATAGTCCTACCTTTACTGAGTTTCAGCTTGAGACTTTAAATTTAAAACAGCAAGTCTGTATTACATACTGGGGGAGTTTGAGTTTATCACGGAGGAAGATTCTCAAGGAAAGTGCATCATCCAGTGTTTGCGTCAAATCTTTTTAAAGAAGCACTTTTGCAGTGAGTCATTGTTGGGAAAAGAAAGAAGGAAGAAAACAAATCAAAAGTTCAAATTCTAACAAGTCCATCAACTATATGCAAATGCTGTACTGAATTTGCTCGAGTACAGCTTTAATGTACGCTGCCAAGACAACACAACAAAAGTACTTTCCACATCTTAGCCAAATACAAATGCACTGAGTTTCCATCTTAGATGCTGAACATGATTTCAGTGTTGTATATACTATTATAAATATAGCGTTTCATACTAACGCACGAGCAGTTTTACTTTTCAAGTCTTCATCGAGCGATCAAAGCGAAGGCTGGAAAAGCGATTTCTTCAATTTAGTAACAATTACGCACTTTTTGCAGCTAGTTTTGAGAGAAATTCTGGACGTTCTTCCCACAAAACGGTTTTAGTTCGTCAACATTTCCGGGACGTCTTGATTGAACAGTCCTCTTCAGGTCACGTCTGAGCATCTCATTTGAGTCAAGGTCAATATTTTCATTTGGCCGTTTGATAAAAATGAATTTTCTTATTTTGTTGTTGAGTTATTTAAGTGTGCTCTTCCATCACCAAATTTGTGTTCTCGCTTCATGTCGTGCTGCCCTGACATTCGCCTGTAAATCGAATCCAATTTAAAAATTCATTTGTCCTCTCAGTGATTGTAAGGCGTCCTGTAGTGTTGTAGAACATCCAAGTGGTCTTGTGCAAATTTAAAATGTGCAGTTTTTAGTGATCAGTGGTTTCCTTTATGTTGTCCTAGCATTAAGACCCATCTGGATGAAGATTTATCAAGTTGTAGAGACGGAGCTTGATTCAGGATTGCATGTTGTAGCTACAGTCCTGGTTTTCTTCCTGTAGAGCAGGGATGTCAAACTTCAGTCCTCGAGAGCTACTGTCCTGCAGCTTTTAGATGCATCCCTACTCCAACACAGCTGAATCAAATGCTTGGATTACCTTTTCAGCTTACCATCAAGTTTGGCAAAGGCCTGATAACAAGCCATTCATTTGATTCAGGTGTGTCAGAACAAGGATGCATCTAAAAGCTGCAGGTCAGCAGCTCTTATGGACTGGAGTTGGAGACCCCTGTTGTAGAGAGTTGGTACATTCAGGTTTTTCAACCTTCTTCTGAGCTCCAGCCAATCGGTCTCAGGAATCGCAGACAATGTCAGCAACCAGACTTTGCATGTTTTTATTTAAAAAGCTGGGCACCTCTGCAGGTCCAATCTCATCTGGTTAACCGGAACACTGGACTCCAAGTAGCTCTTTTAGTCATTATCATAGAGCTCCACTTAGTTTTTCCAACGTTCACTGTGAGTGATTCTGTTAAACGTCTTTCAAGTCCCACTGAAATACTCCTACGCTGTAATTTTGAACTACCAAGTCTTTTGTGTTGCGCTGCTCAGCGTTTGACTGGGAGCTTGTATATAATAATACATTTCAGATGACAAAAACTGGTCTGCACAACACCGAATAAAACATTTAACTTTAACAGCCTCTACATTTGATGCTGGCTTTAACAATTATGTGGTTGTATGCACACAAAAATGAAAAAATAACATTATTATTTCTCTGCATTAAAGTGGTAATTACAGGCACCAATCAACTTTTTTTATTTCCAACGTTTTGGTATTTTAACAATGAAACCTCCTCAGTGCGCATAACTGGATTAAAATCTCCTTAAATCTTCTAAAATTGCAGCAAATCACCATGAATGGTTTATAACAAAAGTATCCAGTGTTGGAAACCCAGGAAAAGTGTATTAAGTTTGAAGTAGTTGAAAACTGAGCGTCCCAGAGCAGGGAAGGTGAGCTGTGATCGCCCCGCTGAGCCATAGCTGGAGCTTGATTGGTTCTGATTAGTGAATAAATCAAACAGGTATCAAATCAAGCCGGGCCAATTGCCTCCTACTCACACCTTGATTAGGTTCATGCACCCAAACGCTTTCCCCAGTTGAGAAACACTCTCCCTCACTTACAAAACACACACACACACGTCTGCCCTGTAATTGGCAAACTCTCCCTGCCTTAGTCCACGCCAGCTGTAATTAGTGTGCCAGCAACAATGCTTGTTTGTCAAAAAACACACATGTACGCATACACAGAGCTCATCCCATTTTCTCTTATGTCTCAGCAGACACCCTTTGATACACCCCCACACACACACACACACACACGGGCACGAAAACACACACAGACGCACACACGCATTATTCAGCCTTCCATGACGCCTGGGGCAGTTAGTATTTACAAATCCGCTTGTTTCTCTGCGAAATCTCTCACATTACTTCTTGGATTCTGTCATAATGTTGGGAACTACTAAATCTCACTATTTCCACCGATTCAAAGCAGCGTTACAGGATATCTTACTGACTGGATCATTGTGGGAGATGCATTTTTGCTTACAGTATACAGGTTTGCTGAACTGCTTATAGGGGAGGTGTGGCACAACCAATCACTAGTGCACACGTGCGGTTTATAGTGATGATTAGGAAGAATTCAAACCTGAAAACATCGAGTCATTTAGGAGAAAAATGGGTCTTTGATGTCAAACAGTGGTGAAAAATGGCAAACTTCTTGTTTCCTGCTGGAAACTGCTGGCAGATGTAGCTAGTTTGCTAAATAAGCTGATATGTGAGAAGAAATTAATTAAATACAGCAATAAATGATCATAAGATCCATTTAGTTCATATTACAATCTGTATGTTTAATTCTACACTTAGGCTACGTTCACACTGCAGGCGAAAGCGCATCAAATCCGATTTTTTTGACCCTATGCGACCCACATCCGATCATGCTATGACAGTGTGAACGGCACAAATCCGATATTTTCAAATCCGATCTGGGTCACTTTCGTATGTGGTACTGAATCCGATACATATCTGATGTTTTAGAAAGCGACTGCTGTTTGAA